AGAGGCCTCTCCTTGGTCGTTGTTGGTGAGAGTGGTGCGGTAGGCCACAGATTTCATCCCAAAGTTGATTTCTCCTCACATATTGGTTTATCAGCTACATTCTCTTAAGTGTGAGTGGAAGAAGCAGTGTATAAATGGGATGACTCGATTCCTGATCGATGAGAATACTAGTCTATCTGCAGTGTTAGCTCAGTTTGTGCCAAAAGAGGACGGATACTTATTTTTCCAAAATGTGCTTTGGAATGATAACACTTACTTGATCAACCTACCAAATGACTATAATATCTCTGTTACTTTCAAATTAGCAAACTTGACTTCGTGATATGAGAAGCCAGAAGCTTCGACCAATGAAGTCAAAGCTTCCTTAACCCCATGAGATTGATACATGAGTTTTTTTCCCTCACAATTTTTCCACGGTACTGTAGCTATTACAGTACTGCGGGAAAACAAATAGTGTGAGATGGGATTCAGGCTGCCAAAATAGTCTCATTTTCCTTTCTTATTATTTCTTTTTTATTATCATTTGTTACTTTTTGGCGCTTTCCTATATATTTGTATATTAGGATTTGGATCAACTGCTTTTGGTGGGTTTTATTTTAGATTTCTATCAGGACAGTCGCGGGCATTCGTTTTTCTCTTTGAGGGTTGTATCCGAGGGATTAGATGAAGTTCCAGTTGTATCTCTCTCCCAATGTGGTGATTATCTTCCTTGTATCCCCTTTCACATCTTCCTACCTTGCTCAATGCCGCCTTATCTCGCTGCAACCGCCCGCAATAGCTTGTCATTGTTGTTATCTACAGTTCCAGCCACCCCCATTGCCTTCTCCTCACTCGTCCTCGCCGCCCTTTCTGTCCCAGCCCTCCACCTTCGCTGCTGCTGCACACATTACTTTCTTTTTGTTGTTTTCCTGTTGTCCAGCAGCTCCAAATTGTAACATGCTACTGTTTGGACTACTACTCCATGTTGTCTTGTTGTTCCAGTTGCCCATAACCTTTGTCAGCCCTCATCCACAGTCTGGAAACCCCTTCCCACCTTATCGCCGCCTCTCTGTGCCCCTCAACCGTCAGCGCCATC